GAAGTCTGTGCTTACATACGGAGAAAAGGTGTTTATGACACTTGTAAGCGGTTTGCTTTGCTTTGTGGACTTGCATCGACTCCATAAAGAAACACGCTTATGTCGAGTACGTGCACTGGCAATAAAAACATTGGCCATAATGCATTTTACGAATAAACCTCACCTGCTAATACTGGGAACGGAAAATGGTTTCATTCATATTTATGAGATGTCCAGAAGTGGATTCGAGTGGCTTCGCACTCTCACTCTCCACAAGTCACCAATAACATGCATTGGTGTTTCGAGAAATTCTGTTGTCCCTCACAGGCACGATGATAGTGGTCTATTTGTCAGTGGCAGTTTGGACGGAAGTATTGGATTGTGGAATGCTTTGACAGGCAAATGCCTACAGGTCATTGACGGTAAGTAAAAAGAACTCAATTATTTTCTTTTAGACCAAACATCGGTTGCGAAACATTGGCATTGGAGACCACTAGTGTCGATCAATGCCATTGCCTTCTACAACGATTATGTGGTAGCTGCAGATAAGGGTGGAAATATAATTTCCATGCAAATTGATAAATCTGGCGAATTTAAAATTTGTTCCGTTTTAAAAAATGAATTTGCTGCATATCGAGTTGAGCTAAACGGTAAATGGCTTGTGTCTATCAATCATTCAAGAATAAGTATTGCCGACTTGGAGGATGAATCTAATAATCTCGAACTCGAGAAGTCATTTGGTTTCGACGGCGATGAAGTCATAGTTGACTTTAAGTCAAATCAGATCATCTTCTTCAAGCGTGATAACGTGTATATGCACAACCTAAGTGCAAACGAGTGTGTTTGCTTCCAAAAAGGTTAGTTAATTCTGACTCTTGAATGATATGTGAGGGTGTTGCAAATTTACTGAATTTCACTTCTTTAGATCCTTTCAAACGGATGCCATTTGTGGTAGCTATACAAGCGAATGAGAGATTCGTTTATAGCGTTCATGCAGATGGTAGGATATACCTTTGGGATCGGAAGAAGTGTCGATTAATTCATGAGCTACATCGGTTGTCAGTTGTGAACGTGTCAAAGTGCCACCTGGCTCTGTCTGAATCCTCTCAGAACATGTTTTGCTTGACATTTTACTCTACGCGTTGGGGACGGAGGTCAAGGATGTACAGGATATCTGTCAGTCGAACTGTAATTGAAGATAGTTGAATTGTTTTCGACATTACCGATGATGTCAGACGAGTTGCTGCACAGTGTGGTCAACCCCTATGTCGGCCTCATTTTCCCACATATCCATGCCTGTATCTTTCTATGTAACGCAGATTTATTTCTTAATTCAATTTGTGATATTAAATTTTTTGAATGGTTCTTTCTTACTATTATCTCCCTCCTAACTGTTTTCCCGTCGGTTTTCTTGTGCCTCCACTGACACTTGTATTTTTCTGCTATAGTCCAACATTCTGAAACGACCAAATTACCTAAGACATTTGATTTCCTCCTCACCACTCTATTCATATGTCAATCGATGCAGTTAGTTACTAAAAGCCTCTTTCATTTTCCCTTAACTCACATCACTGTCTTTCTCTCTTCCTTCCTCCCACTCTCTCTGTACATTTTGGATAAAATATACCTTGATGTAGTTCAAATAAAGTACTTTTTGGTGTTCGAATGTGAGTTTCATTCCAAATAGAATATGGCGTATGTAAGACGTAATAGAGGAGTGAAAAATGAGAGAATGTGGTAAAATGTTGGCTGATTCACTTTTGTGTGGAGGTCATGGCAGCACTGTTGTCAGATTTGATTCTGGAATGTGAGATAACACAGGGTGGTTTCTGTTGAAAGCCAAATCTTGGCCCATTAAATGCAACCTCGAGACAAAGAAAAAATGGCTTCAGAAATCCGCACTTGTGGTATTACACTTTTAAATTGTTGAAATATTCCCACCTCGAATCTGAAGAATTTAAATGTGGGCATGCTACCTTAAATCTCCTCCTCCCATCCCCGCCTAATTATGTCCAGTAGAGTGAACACACTACTTATGTGGTAAGGGCGGACGAATTAATGGATGTTAGTATTGGAAGTGTGATTTTGGTGTCAGATGCAATTTCATCAACAGGATTATGGATGATTTGACACAACATTATTAGCTCCATGGTCTTGAATTATAATAACGTTAAGCATAAGTGAGATACCACAGAGAAAGTCAGAGGACATTCCACATTTTCCCTAATATCATAATCCTCGTATTCACATACTCAATTTCAAATTGCCTCTCTCGCCTCCTCACGTTCTTACACTTTCTCCCACTCTAACTCTCTCAAGTTTGAAATGGGCCACCTTGCAAATTAATTAAGCTTTATTCAAGTTGACTCTTTTGATGCTCCTTATTCCTCCCTAGGCAGATCATCATTATTTTAGTAGTCATAGTATTAAGTATATCTTCTTGTCCTATTAAATCACATTTGTCTACCAATAGCGGTCATAAGCGACCCCAAGTCATAAGTTATGATCAAGTCATTATGTGTTCTCCCTGGTGTCCATCGGCTTATGTTGCGCGCATAGTCATATGCCCTCATTTCCTTAGACTCCTTTCTGATCTGATGCAGGAGGCAGTAAAAGAATGGAGGTTGTAGAATATGCCAACTTTAATTTACCACAAATGCATATTATTCAGAGTTATCACTAAAGCTCATTCATTTTTCCACAAATTATGGCCTTATAATTTCCTCAATTCCAAATTACTGGAATTTGAGATACAGACCATAATAATTGGGTAAGAGTCTGAATAAAAATATATTGAGACTTTATTTATGTTTGATTTAATATAGCAAATTGTACTTCGATTTTCAATGCAAAATAATTCTGTTAACTTAAAATGTCAACATTCCGATGAGCACTGATGGTACATTTAGAAATGAAAAAGCTCTTCCTGACTCATTTATTTGATATTAAAGCAGTCAAAATTCCGATATTCAAAGATGAAAGTCCACCCTACAACTTCCTGCAATTACTGGTGCAACTGGGCTCTTGCAAGTGGAGGCTCCTCTTCATATGGAGTTGCGTTCGTGGACCGCACACTGGAACAGCGCCGTTTCAAGTGTTCATTTAGGAGTCTACCAATGCCACAAACAAGAAGATCAATCGCATCGAGGTTCGTATCTTCGAAAGAGACAATAATATCCACACGAGACCTTGTCGGAGCGATAGAGTTGTCGAAAGCTGGCTTGAGGAACAAGAAATACTGACGAAAATGTCGTTGACTTGACGACCACGCTCACGAATGTCTCGAAGAAGACGTCTTGAGAAACGCACCTCAGCATCGGTTTCAACGAAAATCTTCACATCCATAAGCTTAAATAGCATTACAAAATGTTAGGAATATTTCCATTCTTGTGGATAAATTTGAAAACATATTTCTTTCAGAATGAATTACCTCCAATAGCTCCTGGTGGTAATAGGTCACGATGCTTTCTAAAATTACTACACTAACGCCATCAACTTTAAGGGAATAACCGGCACAATAATGTTTCACGAGGTCATGTTATTGCGGATTGCTACTTTATTAAAGCCTTGACTTAAGTGTCAGAAACCTCGGTGGTAGATTCTCCTAATTACCGAGACTTCAGAAGAGAGAGACGTATCAATGAAACATTTACTCACCAGATAATGATAGCGAATTGTGCTCAAAAAGGAACAGCTAATCATGCAAAATGTCGAACTAAAAAACAAACGCAGATTTTCTATTGGTCATTGGCTGTGCGTCTCCGCAACCAATCCCTGTGTGATGCTGCATGGCGCACCTTAAGCCTAGTGTGCGCGCCTGCGACGAAGTGTGCCACAATACTCCCCCTCTGGAGCGTTTGTAGGAACCTAAAAGGTGAATGGAAATGCGCGACGTACTAAGTGTACATAGTTAACCAGCCGGGAGGAGAAGGTAACTTTTCGGCAGTAGCGAGTGTATTAGGCCTTACAATTTGCTGCTTGTTATTACCAGTAGATCAATTTATGTTACCAAAAACTGTTTCTGTTCCGCAGTTCATAATTAAAAGCGGTTATTCTTACGGTTCGAGTATGTTTCACGAATTCATATATTGGAATTTCAATTGTTTTACATTCTTTGAGCATAGAAAAATGCTTGATTAGCAGCTGGGAACTAATTGCGGAAGAATGATCAAAGTTGAAACGACCCTCGTGCGTAAGGGCTTTTTCCTTGTCTAAAGGCTCCAAACTACGATTTGAAATTTCGAGTGAAATCGTTTGCCCTAATTTATTTTTTTATTAGTGTATTATTAAAGCATGAAATACTGATTTGTGCATATACGGATCTCACAGTCTATTACCTTTGCTATTCTAATTTAATGTAAAATGGTCAAAGGCTTTAAATGAATTTATTGTTTTATTTGAACTAATGGCAATGATACCAACTGCTTCCAACTTGACACACATTGTCGTTAGCAAAGTTGAAGGACGTGTCGTTAAATTAGAAATATGCATCAGTCGTTAGTGAAATTCACACTAATTCTGATTCCAGTAATTAAATAAACTCTAATAGATATTATGACAACGAATTTGATTTCAATCCCAAGAATAAGGGCTGGAATTAAAGAAAAAAGAGTATCATTTTCACTGGACTTGGATACCAATCAAAATTATCATCCTATTTTACGACAATTTCTGTGGGTGTATCAAGCATAAATTATTCTCATCATGGTACTAAGTACGTTTCAGTACGAGATAAATTTCAATTTACGGCAAACACCTTCTTAACCCTATTGCTTTAAATTGTTGCTCGAAATATCATGAAATCTGAAAGATAACAGCTTGCAAGTAAATACCTCACAGTATCATAGATTCTTTGTGTAATTTCTATTTGTTCCTGTCTCAGCAACTCTGATTCAAAGTTTAAGAAGAGCAACGTGTGCTGTCGTGGGTATCTTGGAAAAAAGTACCTTTTTCCTTCAATGAGTAATTGCCAAGTTCTGGCGTCATGTGTGACTTAGAGGCAACTTCCCAGGAAATACTATGCTAGTTTGCTTAATTCGAAATAAGGTCAGATGAGAATGTGTCATTTAATGCTTACAGAAGCTGGAGCGAAGTCACATGAAGGAAGCAAAGTGTTGACGTCTAAATAACAAGTAAATAGGCTGATATTAGTCTTTGGTGTTTAGACGAAAATGCGATAGGCTTTTAGAACTAGATAGAAGAATCATTTAAACTATTAATGCACTTCAAATTACATTGATATTGAAACATGCACACTGCAGTGGTGATAGTGACGGTGGGGCTGTTAGCCTTCAAAGCCACCGAGAACACAAAAACTGATTGAATACAGACGATTGACCGAATCAGACAGAGATGTTTAGAGCGGTTTAGACTTACATTCCAATTGTTCCAATTGCGAATTTTCACATTCTTTCTGCAATTCAACTCAACTCGTTTTCCCCTGATTGACTTGAAACCGTTGCGTTGTACCAATTTCTGGGCTGCTAGTCCATTTGCATTTGGACATTTTGCACGTGGATTAAAATATAGCAAATTTCACTTAAACCAGATTTTGTTAATGATGTTAAACATTCCTCAATTTGGATCAAATTTGAATTTTAAAATAACTTTTAGTAATCGCATTGACAACGAAATAGGAACAAATTTAAGCGCACGCTCCTCTTCGCCTTTTGAAGTCTTCTAACCATATTAATGATGGCTTGGTGGATGAAATTTCTCAAAACCAACCAAAAAGAGGAGATTGCGGAACGATCAGAATAAGTGCAGGCAACAGGGGAATGAAAAGACTCATCTAACTCTCTTAAAAATGGGTCTTTAAATGATGGGATAAATCCTGTTATGCGCGTAGTAGAAATGCCTCAGTATGTGATCATCAAATACCTCGACCTACTCAGCTTCGATACATTTTCGCAAGTGCGCAACAATTGTGAGTTTTCAGTTCCACCAAATCTCCTGCGCTGCTATACACACTACTTATTCTTATTTTTTCCTTTCGTTCTACAGGTATGCACGGATTGGTATGGTTTGACAGAAAGATGCAACTATTGGGAAGAAGCCAGCAGACCCTCCAACATATCCAAATGCTGGTACTTTAACCACGCTGATTTGAATCAGTCGGCTCAATGGGCTGCTCTCTGAGCTGATCATACCCACATGTGGGAGAATGTGATATATCGTGTGATGGCTGTTGAGTACAAATGTCGATCATGTGACCTTGAAGTCGTTAAAATCGTTAGCGTAAGTGATACTGAATTAGATAAGCAAATACGCGCACGTATTAGTTATGCACTTATTATTATTAGTAAAATTAGCCATGATATATTCGATTTATTTCTAATTAAAGTTTATGAAAGAGGATAGAGATGTAGAAATAATACAGCTGGTTCGAGAATGGAAGGTGTCGCATTTGAATTGAGAGCATTGAATTCTTTGCTCATTCAAAAATCAACAGATTTAAGTAAAAATTGGTAAATGCAGCGCATGAGAACATGAGCTCATAAACTACGGCTCTAAGGTCGCTCTTAAAGTGACGTAAGTACTGTTCATTCATAATTACTGAGAAGTGATGGAAGTCTTAATGGCTTGAATCAATTTAAAGCCGACTTCAGAGGAGATTCATTAAGTTTAGCATATCATAAAGTGACTAGTTCATTTTTAAGAAGTATGCTTATTCCTTCTGGGTGTTCTTCAAGGAGACAAATTGATAAAAGAAAATGTTTACAACAGATTACAGATGTGTTCTGCAATCTCTTCTATTTTAAACTCTGCCAATTTTCAGGATTAAGAAGAAAAAATGGTCAGTGCAGACTGTGACTAAGATCCAATCAGTGAAAGGAATCTGGAATTGTTAAGATTGTTAACACAAACTCCCCATTTAGTGTACAATTTGCCAACCGATTCCGAAATTCTACTAAAGTTTTACATTGGCTCCTTCTCTTCGTTCCGTTAAACTTAGTTCATAGTAAAGTTGACTTTCATAATTGCATTTGATTTAATCCAAATGAAAAATAAGTGAAATGGATCCACTTCACTGCGTTTTAGGATATAGTGTGGGGAGTTACCAACTACGTAGGAGTGGAATATTGATTTGAGAAATTCTGCAGACCCTCATAGACCAGATGATAGGGGTCTATTGGACGGTGGTAGATTGAACAGGGGTATTAGATTGTGGAATCCTTTGATAAACGAGTGCGTGAGGATCTTTGACCGTAAGTCAAATGAATTAAATTATTTGTATCTAGACAAAACAGCTGTTGCAGAAGCTCTATTTTGAAGACAAAGCAGGAGAATTGATATATATATATATATGCCTTCTATAAAAATGATGTAGTATCAGCTGATGTGGTGGGTGGTATAATTGAATGCGTATCAATGAATCCACAATTGAAGTAAGCTGTCGTATTTTTGCCTTTATAGATGATGTCAGGGCAATTCCTGCAAGGTTATAGTTCTGATACATTGGCCTCATTCTGTCCCATAGCCAAGCCAGTATCTTTTCCAACTTTCGACGTGGGATATTGCAGACTCTTGTTAGTACCTCCAACAGAACCTTTCTTTTGAAGTCAGTTATAATTTGCCCCCTCCGCCCCCCCTTCACATTGTATTTCATAATCTATTTGCCAATCGATGTAGCAAGTAATTAAAAGCCTTTTCCATTTCTTCCTGACACAACTCTCTCTCTCTCTCTAACTCTTTAGCCATCCATTTTTTGTTCACTTAATTCCCATTTGTATTCAGAAGTCTTCTCACGACGTATCGTTTTCTCCCACGTGTGGTTACAATCAGAACAGTGAGCAGTCCTATGGGTAGCTTGGACCAAATCAGTAGGCTCGAAGTACCAACATTTGGGTATGTTGGAGGATTCGCTGGCTTCTTCGCAGTAAGTGCGTCTCACTGCCAAATTCTTCAACTCCGTGCGTATATGTGGGAAGAAGAGAAACAATGGGAATAAGTGGAGTGAGTAGAAAAGCACAGGAATGGAGGTGGAACTGAACTACTCACGACTATTACCCACCTGGGAAAAAGCCACGAGACTGGGTAGGTCGAGATATTTGATGATTTCACGTCGAGGCATTTCATCTATGCGGTTGAACCAATTTATCTCGTCATTTGAAGGCACCCTTTCAAGAGTGTTGGGCGAGTCTTTTCTTTTCTCAATTGTTCTCACTGCAACTGATCTCTCCCTTCGGCTATCTCCCCTTTTCTTTCTATTAAGGGAGTTAGATAAATCTTTTCCTTTCTTTATTTCTTGCATTTCATCTGATTGTTCCATTCCACTATCATTTTCTGCCAATTTTTGATATTATTAATCAAAATCTGTATTAAATGAATTTACTATTAGTCAA